GTCACCAGCATGTGGTGCGGTGGTTAAGGCGATGGACACTCACACATGGCTGACTACGGTTCGAGTCCCGGACCTGGTGGCTTGCTTTCTCACTTTCCCTCTCTTTCTCTCTGTGTCTCTCTGGTCAAATTAAAAAACTAAATAATTGAAAATTAAATAAATAATTCTTTAAAAAAAAAAAAAATACCAACATTCATTTGTAGTATTTTGCTATAGCAGCCCATACAAAAAACGTACTTTTTGATTTTTTTTTAAGTCTTCCTGGACATCAGTACAATGAATCTCTAAAAGTCACTAAAAAAGGTTTTGGCTAGCTGTCGACAAAGAAAATACATTCTTCCCTTGTGAAGAGTCAAGATACTAGAAAAGGAAACAAGTGTCTTAAAGAAACAGAGAAGAAACCAGTTTCTTAAGCAAACAAGTTCCTTTGCATAATTCTTATCTTCATAACAAAATAGCAAACCAAAGAATAAGCAGCTCTAAGTTTGACTTTCTTCCTTAATCATTGCCAAATCCATGACATTTCTCAAGCATCCTCTCCACAGAAGACATTCTCTCGCCAGATAATTCTGCAAGATATGTCAGAAGAGAACGTCTGCTTTCCTCATCTGAGACCACTTAGCTGGTTTCACAACAGAAACCCCAACCTAAGGTCCAGCCGTTTTAATCACTCAGTTGCCGGCACAATTGATGTGGGTGCATCAGGAAATAAGCTGGGAACAAAGAAAAAAAATATTGAACTAACTCTAGGATGTGGCTTCGAGTAAAATGTCCATTTTCCACAAGCAAATTATACTAAAAAGAAACCAGGAACAATTTTAGTAGCTGAAAACAATCCACAAGCAATCTGCATTACTCGTCTACAGTCGACGAGGTCTGGGAGAAGAGAATGATTTCTGCCCCACACAACCAAGACAGCCATTCCAATCCAGCCTGGGAAAAAAAGGAACGACTTCAGTCAATATTTACTGAGTGCTTTACCTGTTTGCTAAGGCTGCCATTACAGAATAGCAGAGAGAGGAGCGAATGGCAGAAATGTATTTTCTCACAGTTCTGGAGGCTGGAAGTCAATGATCAGAGAGTTGGCAGGATTGGTATCTTCTGAGGCCTTTCTCCTCAGCTCGTGGATGGCCGTCTTCTCCTTTGTCTTCACGTCATCCCTGTGTGTTTTCCAGCCTCTCCTAAGGAATTCAGTTCTATTGGATTAGGGCTCATTCTAGTGGCCTCATTTTAATTTAATTACCTCTTTAAAGACTCTGTTCAAACACAGTTTCATTCTGAGGTACTGAGGGTTAGGACTTCAGCAGAAGAGTTTTGAAGTGACACAATGTAACCCACAACAAACACATGCTAAACTCAAGATCCTGTGTACAGACTCGCTTTACAAACCCAAGGAAGCTCCGGCTTAACTGGGTTTATTTTTCTACATAAACACCAAGCTGAAAAGAAAGGAAGGATGATGTGTGTGTGAAGAGGCTGGGAATCTGGAACTGAGACACTTTCCAAAGAGGCAGCTGCAGCGTCTGGTGTGAATGAGATCTTCCAAAGGAGGAGCCTGCAAAGACCACCTTTGGTCAAGCTCAGGCACACACACACACACACACACACACACACTCACACACACTTCCGGCCCCCCTGGTTGCCTAGCAATGACTCTACTTCCTGGGCAGTCTATTCTCCCATATGACCATGTTTCTGTTTGCTTTTCTTTCAGACATAAAACCTTGGGGAGCCAGTCGGTCAGGCAAGGTCAGATCACTGGTTTGCTGTCTCCACGCGGTCAGCTCTTTGACAAGGTCTTCTGGGAAGCCTGGTTACCTAGGTTAAGTACTTGGCCATAAGAAAACTATTGTCCTTCAAAAGCCACCTTTTCAACTTAACCTGAGTCCTGAAGCTTTGCCTCCCTTTTCAAAGACATGAAAGTGCCAAGAATGCCTCCTGCATTGGGCGATAGACACATCTTTTCAGTAAAAATGGTTTTTTCTTATTTTATTTACTTATTTTTAGGTTTTTGCCATAGGGCATGTGTGCCTACTGGAGAAAGATAAAGACAGAGAAAGTGAAAACTCACCCCTGAGGGGGCATGGCTATCCCACAATCCCATCTCCTCCAGTCTCCTCTAGGGATGTTGGACATGCACACACATGTGCCTGGTGCGTTTTTCAAGCCATTGGGTCCAGGACTCAGACCACACAGAGCTAGCTAGCTGCCTTAACCAACATGCCACCGACGGGCCCTCAAATGGGTTATTTTCTAATTCGTGAAATGAGCCATCATTGGTGTTGCATACTTGGAGCCTCTGGTTCTATTCTCTCTGGAAATATAAGATGCTAAAAGGACTCTCAACTGAGTCCTTTTTATCCTAGATATGATTCAATATCCATGATTTTTTTTTCACCAGACACCTTATTTTACTGTCTCTTGGTCTATTACTGTATCTTCAAATTCTTTGCAGAGGTTATCACTCTTTTTGCAACTCTCCCTTTCCTGAACAGTTATTTTTACTTGAATACATTATATAATCTCTTACTTTGGTAGAGTACATCAGAATATCAAGGTGTCCTTACGTGGTAAGAAACTGAGAGCTCCATTCAGGAGAAGGCATGTCTATAGAGCAGGCCTTGCAGGGTTAGTCTGCCCTTGGCTATAGGTGGCCATGGACTCCAGGCCTCATGCACAGGGTAAACCAAGCTCCATGTCTGAAATCTGAGACCTGAACTTACCAGGGCTACAAGTTGCTATAAAATGGAAACAAGGCCATAGGTGGCATAGAGGCTAAGGTGCTGGACTCCCACCTGGCCTGTCACAGTTCAAGTCCTGAACCCAGAGGCTTGAAACATATTGGGTGGGTGGGTGTGTGCATGCCCAGACTCCTGAGAGGAGAATAGAAGAGAAGGGATTGTGGCATAGTCATGCCCCTGGGGGGGGGGTGATTTCTCACTTTCTCTCTGTCTTTCCAGAGAGCGTACACACCTTATAGCAAAAAACCTCTCTAATAAAAATAAATAAAATAAAATGATTAAACAGAAACAAGCATGGAGCTGCCCGCTGTAAGTTTTCCATGAATGCAAAGTGGAGCAGAATTTGGATAGTCCGATGCCCTGTCCTTCCAGAGAGCGTATATATAGCAAAAAACCTTATAGCAAAAAACCTCTCTAATAAAAATAAATAAAATAAAATGATTAAACAGAAACAAGCATGGAGCTGCCCGCTGTAAGTTTTCCATGAATGCAAAGTGGAGCAGAATTTGGATAGTCCGATGCCAACACGGACAAGTGGACAGGAACATTAACTCCTCCGGGCCGAGCACAGGGAATACCTCTCCTTCCCTTACAGAAACCATTGAACGCAAAAGTGGACACCAGTTCCAAAGGTTCCTGGTTTACAGCGGATGTCCAAGTTAGGAGGTTTCAACTTGATGATGGCATGAAAGGAACACACATTCAGGGGAAAGAGCACTTCGAGGATCTGTGCGACCGCTCTGATTTCATTTTCAGCATAACATTCAAGAAATCAATGAGCTATTTAACACTTCACTGTGAAAATAGGCTTTGCACTAGGTGATTTTAATTGACTGTAGACTAACATAAATGCTCGGAGTCCATTTAAGATAGGCTAGGCTGGGACCAGCACTTGGCATAATGGCTATGTCCCTGGACGCCCACGTAGTCAACTGCAGTTCGCATCCCGGACCCGGTGGCTTAAAATCACTCCGAGTGCGTGTGCGCGCGTGCCCAGGATCCTGAGAGGAGAATGGAGAAGAAGGGATTGTGGCGTGGCCATCTCCCCAGGAGGTGATTGATTTCTTGCTTCCTGTCTCTCTGTCTCTTGTCTTTCTGGTGAGCACATGCACCCTCTAGCAAAAACCTCTAAAAAAATAAATAAATAAAATAAGATAGGCTAGGCTAAGCTACAATATTGGAGAGGTTAAGTGTATTAAGTGCATTTTTTACAATATTTTCAATTTGTGATGGGTTCATTGCAACACAACTCCATCATTAAGTCGAGGGGCATCTGCACATGCAAAGATGAGTTCTTCAGGCGACTCAGGTATAAAACCAGAAGGGAGACAAAGCCAGAAAACGCTGCGCTTGGCACGTAAGACGGGGAAGAAATAAGCTTAGATTGAATTAGTTTGACCTATCAGAAAAAAAAAAAATGGAGCTTTAGAGAGGAGACTTAAAAGTTAGACAGAAAAGAGGGACCAGCAGTTAGTGTAATGGCTATGTTGATGGACTCCCATGTAGCTGACTACGGTTTGAGTCCCAGACCCGGTGGCTTAAACTCACGCGGGGCGCGTGTATGTGCATGCCCAAGATCCCAAGAGGAGAAAGGAGGAGAAGGGACTGCGGCGTGGCCATCCCCACTGGGGGTGATTTCTCGCTTTCTATCTCTCTGTCTCTCTCCGTCTTTCTGGCGAGCGCATACTCCCTATAGCAAAAACCTCTCCAAAAAAAAAAAAGACAGAAAAGAGAAGAAAGCTTGACGGGAGTAAGGTAAGACCCTAAAAGACGAGATGTGAGAGTAAAAAGTGACCAGAAGACTAAATCAAGAAACGGACGGACAGGTGGAGATTTCCCGAGGTATCTGGGAGCAATCTCTGTTCAGATTCAGGCGGTCCCTGGAGAACATCCTCAGTGAACTGAAGAGTTTTTACATATTCTCAGAGCACTGAATAGTACAATCTGATTCTTCCCTTCTTTAGAGTTGTAGCTAAATTTTCTCCACAATGTTTCCATTCTCAGCTTTGTCTAACCAGTTCTACTTGCTAACAGAATACATAAATCTCCATTCTTTCTATTTAATCTGTATCTTTTGATTCTGCTAAATGCTTTAATTACCTAGGGACTAGTTACAAATGTCATTCCAAGCCTTAGCAATACTGTAACATTGTATTTATGTCACCCTATTTAGTTTTGAATTTATTTTTATTCCTATTCTCTCAGTGTTATAGTTTATAAAGAGAGATTCTTATCTCAAGTACTCTTTCCTAATAATTCTTTATTTACCCTTTTTTAGCTAAGAAGTATCAGTTACTTCCCATGCCTTATTTTTCCTCCCTGTTGACTTTCACAGTAGTAAGTTTTATACTTTTACTGGAGTCTATCTTTACTCTTCTTTTAAAAAGTTTCTCCTCTGGGACCAGAAGATGGCTATTATGCTGGACTCCCATGTAGTCAACCGTGGTTCGCGTCCCGGACCCTGTGGCTTAAAATCACACCAGGGGCATGTGCGTATGTGCCCAAGATCCTGAGAGGAGAATGGAAGAGAAGTGATTGAGGTGTGGCCATTTCCCCGGGGGATGATTTCTTGCTTTCTGTTTCTTTCTGGCAAGCTTACGTGCCCTATAGCAAAAAAAATCTCAAAAAGAAAAAAAAAGAAAACTTAGTTTCTTCTTTGTTACTTCTTTCAAATCAATTTTTTATTATTATTATTTTTTTTTGCCTTACGGTACATGTACTCGCTGGAGAGAGACAGACAGAGACAGTGAGAGGGAAAACGAGAAATCACCCCTTGGGGGAATGGTCACGCAGCAATCCCTTCTCCTCTCAAGATCTTGGACATGCACACATACATACCCTTCGTGATCTTCAAGTCACCGGGTCTGGGACTTGAACCACAATTGGCCATGTGAGAGTCCAGTGACCAAACTTCTATGCCATCTGCTGGCCCCTAAATCAAATTAATTAACTGTCTGCTACCCCTGGCCCTCTGGCAGTTGATGCCTGAGTAGAAGCCTATTGTGCCGGCCACTGTGAGTGGCCAGAGTCATACTGCGATTTCCTGCAGACCTGTGGATGACTCTGAGAACACAGGATGGCCCTACCGACGCGGACATGCTTCTCACCTGTGCAGAGCACTCACCTTCTCCTACCACAGAGAGGTCGCAGGAAATGAGGACCTGCCTTAGACATGACCTGGACTCAGAATTTCTTATCGTAATTGCATTTTACATGAATGAACAATTTAAAAATACAATGAAAAATCTAAAACTCTGAAATGTACTGCAAAGACCGCTATTAATACAAGCCATGTTGTCTGCAGCACAATTTATTATTGGGTCATAATATTTGGGTACATTAATAGGTACTGATTTAACATCACGTTAATCTCTCTTGAGATAGCAACCAAAAAAGAAAAGTCTAAAATAGCAAGAGCAATAAATATCAAACTTTCTGATCTAAAATGTATAAATATAAAATATCAGTCATTTCTGGAAACATCTTAAGAAAATCAGGCAACCACACATCCAAGGGCAGGTAGGTGTCCGGGGCTGACGGAGCTTATATTCGGAACATATCACCTCAGATCCAACACGATTATTTTTATGTCTTTTATCAACACATGTTTGCATATCTAGGAAAGAAAAAAAATGATATTTATATTATAAAATTTAACATAAGATTCTCTTTAGGGAAGGAGTATGAATTACCTAGTATAAAAAAATATTTTCAGTCAGAACAAACACAGTCATGTCTATTCTTTTTTTATTTTTCTTTGAGAGGTTTTTGCTATAGGGCGCGTGCACTTGCCAGAAAGAGAGAGAGAGACAGAGAGACAGAAAGCGAGAAATCACCCCCCGGGGGATGGCCACGCCGCAATCCCTTCTCCTCCATTCTCCTCTTGGGATCTTGGGCACGCATGCCCACGTGCCCAGCATGAGTTTAAGCCACCAGGTTCGGGATGCGAACCATGGTTGACTACATGGGAGTCCAGTGACATAGCCATTATGCCATCTGCTGGTCCCATGTTTATTCATTTTTAACAGGAAGATATTTACAGAAGTTACCACGTCATGTTCATATTAAGTAATTTTTAACTTACTTATTTTTAATGTTTCTTTGATGTTCCAGACACAGAATCCCCAAGTGAATAGAAAGAAAAGATGTGGTCAAATAATGCTTGTTTCTATTGGGGCGATGCAAAGCTAATCAAGTATGATTATAGTGTTCTTTACATTGTTATGAAAAAACTAATCTGGTTACATCTAGTAAACATCTAGTAAACACCGTTCATGAGACATCGACTGCCGTTTTCTCAAATAATTGCTTGTTTCCTTCAACTTTGAAGGAAGCGCTAAGTATCACACAAACATGTGAATGGGAAGGTAACCCCATGCATCAACTCTACCCCAGAGATGTGAACGCTCCTTCACAAATAAAACATCTGTGGGAAGAAATCAGAGATTAAATACAAAGATTAATTCCTTTTCTTCAGGAAAACTCCAAACTAAGCATCGCGTTTCATCCCATATGAGACAACTGCTTTCTCTTTTCTGAGAAAAACTGGGGGTGCAGGCAGTAAAACATGAACATCTGCAGAAAAAGCAAAAGCTGTCTACTCACACTGAACAGCCTGGGCTCCTTGGTGTGCGGATGGAAGCCTTTCTTTTTACAAGCAGAAACCTCAAGCATGCCGGCATTGGTGAGTCTGAAGATACCAGTGCTGGATTTCATGTGAAGGAAAGGCAGAACAGTGAAGGGTCATATGGACTTTCTTTGAAAGGCAGAAGCACATACAGCCATTAGGAGAGAAACATGACCTAGGGATTCTACGGCGAGGTTTAAAGCCATCTTTCGAGGACTGGCCCAGAGAACAGAAGCCCAGGGGAGACAATGCCTTCTCTTTGACTCCCTGTAGGACCATAATAGGAACAAGGCTGGGTGTTGTCCGAGACCCTGGGGGAGAAGCCAAGGCCCCTGTGAGGAGATACAAGGGCAGGTATTTCTCATTTCTCTAACACAGTTAGTAGGGTTTACGGCACCAGCAAACACTTACTGCGTGTTTACTGTGGCCTCTGGCACTGGGCACGGAGCACATCATACAGACCATCACCTGATCTCATGATCTCATCTTCATGTGGACCCGATGGGCAGGTTAGGGGCAAAACATCTGAGGTCCCAGTGACCAGGAATCCTGCTGTACACACCACTGAAGGTGGAGCCAGGATTCCGATATCCGTTTGTCTGACTCCCAGGCCAGCCCCGTAGCCTAGTGTTTCAGAGAGCCAAACCTTCCACATGGCTGACTAGAATCTGAATCCTATGGCTTCAAAAATGCTGGGTGTGTGTGTGTGTACATGCCAAAATCATTAGGGCAGCCAAATCCCACGTGGCCGAATGTGCAGTTTGAGTGTTGGACCAACAACTTGAGAAACACAGCTGGCAGGCATGCATGTGTGCCCAACATCCCAAGAGGAGGGAGAAATGGGGGAGAAAGTGGTGTGTCATGCCCCAGGGGGTACTTCCTTGATTTCCTTTGCCCTCTCCCCATCTCTAACAGCACGTGTGCCCTCAAAACAATAATAATAATAATAATGATAATAATAATAATGCCAAAGACTGCAGGCTGCAGATGGCTGCCACTCACCAGTGTCTCAAGGGCATCACACGCATGTCTAGCCAAGTGCCCCGGGCAGTGTGCAGACAAAGAACCCGGCAGCCTCCGCAGGCTCCCCTAGGTAGTTACGCTTACTCTTTTTTTTTTTTTTTTTTTTTTTTTTTTAAAGAGACTTTAGCCTTAGGGTGTGTGCACTCATTGAGAGAGAGAGAGAGAGAGAGAGGAGAGAGTGAGAGGGACAATGAGAAATCACCCCTCAGGGGGATGGCATGCCACAATCTCCTCTCCTCCATTCTCCTCCTGGGATCTTGGGCACGCACGCACATGTGCCCGCCATGCATTTCAAGCCCACCAGGTCCAGGACTCGAACCAAGATCGGGCTTGTGGGAGTCCAGTGACGTAACCATTATGCCACCCGCTGGCCCCTCCACTTACTCTTTATGCTTTGGTGAACACACAATGGCGATAGCCTCTGGCAACATGAGCTGATAGGAACAGTGCGTGTGAAGATCCACACTGGATAAGAATGCCGTCTGCGTGGGGTGAGTCTGTCAGGTCCAGGACTCGAACCAAGATCGGGCTTGTGGGAGTCCAGTGACGTAACCATTATGCCACCCGCTGGCCCCTCCACTTACTCTTTATGCTTTGGTGAACACACAATGGCGATAGCCTCTGGCAACATGAGCTGATAGGAACAGTGCGTGTGAAGATCCACACTGGATAAGAATGCCGTCTGCGTGGGGTGAGTCTGTCGAAGGAAAAGAGGATAATCTTACCACGATGGCTACAGCCCCTTCTAAGAGAAAATTCTATTTATTTTAGCTTTGTTCTCTTTTACCATCATTAATCAAATAAGAACTTTTAAAAATGTTTTGCAGGAGCCTGCGGGTGGCGTTGGGGGTGGGACGCTGGCCTCCCGTGTGGCCAGCCATGGTTCGAGTTCCAAACCTAGTGGTTTGCTTTCTTACTTTCCCTTTCTCTCCCTCTCTGTTTCTCTCTGGTCCAGTTAAAAATAATAACAATAACAGATGGACCTAAATGAGTTATTCGTTTTAAATAATGTTTTGTGACATAACCCTTTGTTCCATGCAGTCCTATTATTTGCTTCTCTGGAATAACTACAACTTCGAGAAGAGGCTTGTAATCTTCTTAGGAAAGAAAGCAGGAAACTAACTTGCCAGAGACTGTAGACAGATTGTCATTTGATCAGCACATCGCATCGAAGACATTCCATTTTTTTATCTGTTTCACAGAAAGGGGTCCCGAGGCTAAGGAAAGGTAAGTCCCCTGCCACGGCCACACCCCTGCTAAGACGCAGAGCTTGACTGAAAACCCTACTGGAGTCAGTAGCTTGCTGGAGCTTCATACAGCAGGTTAGGCCAAGTCTAAATTAAGTCTAAGCCTGTCTGATTCTAATTCAGACCTTCTTTCCTACAGTCAAGTTGTATCCAAAATAAATCACCTTTGAATGTATTACAATCATTGTACTCAGTCAAAACAATCACGAAAGTTCATCATAACCACCAGGGGTTAGAAAGGTAATATATTCGAATACTTATTAAGCCACAACAGTTTGATATGGTGAAATACATTAAAGAAAAAGCAGAATCCTGCAATTCTAGAATTACGTCAAATTCATTATTTAAACAATTTAACTTCATTGTTGGATACATTATATACAGAGAAGATGATAAAGGGAAAACTTGTTTCTAATGTGGGACTGCTTGAGATAAGTTGATACTAGCTTGTCAATGTAAGTGCACAATCTAATAGATTGTCATTCTTAGTTTATGTGACAATTTCTTTGCTACAATGTGTTTTCCTTTAAACTGCATTCCTGTTGCAGAAATCATGTGAAGCTACATAATGCCTTTAAAATGCAATGCTTTCTAAGCAACAGTAAGGCATATTGCTTATTGTAAAGTAAAGCAAATAGAGGGACCAGAAGTTAGCGTAGTGGCTATGTCACTGGACTCCCATATAGTCGACCACGGTTCAAGTACCGGACCCAGTGGCTTAAACTCATGCTGGGCACATGTATGTGCGTGCCCAAGATCCCAAGAGGAGAATAGAAGAGAAGGGATTGCGGCATGGCCATCCACCCTGGGGGGTGATTTCTCGCTTTCTGTCTCTCTGTCTCTCTCTGTCTTTCTGGCGAGCGCATGCGCCCTATAGCTAAAAACCTCTCCAAAAAAAAAGAAAAAAAAAAAAAAGTAAAG